AGAATCCAAATATGCAATTTAATACGGGGTTCCATTTAAAATAGTGATGTTGCCACTAGTTTAGAGTAGAAGCGGCAACACCGCATGGTCAAAAATATTTTTAAAATGTATATCATGGTCGTTTATCCCGGTTGCCAAATTTTTAAAATGATCCGCTTTTTAGTTCTCCATAAACGTCTAATACGCCATCCACCGTGGGACACCCTGTATAGTATATATTTTTTTTTTTTTCAAAAGATCCTTGGGGAATTCGCCACTACGACTGTATAAACATTTTGTCTAAAGACTATCTCGGATCTTTAAAAAACAAATAATAATTATTCTTTTACTTCAGAACTCTGCGTTTCGAAACAAGTATTCACCATAATCATAATATTAGTGATAATAATAATAATAATAATAATAGGTAACTCTAATTAAAATAGCCATAAATTTCGCTTTTCTTGGGTGAAGACTTGCAGGAACCACAAAGAAACAAATATCGATATGTACAAATTTATTTATTTCAGAAAATAATAAACATTAATGGGGTTGAACATAACATAATCAACTTACACCTACATATACAGGGTGTAAAACAGTCCACCCCGATTTATTGGATTTGGGATGAGAATTTGGAAAAACGCTCGGACACGTCGATTTTTGATTTGGGGGGGAACTATTTTTCAGTTTTTTTCATCCCCGTAGTTTCAACCCCCTAGCTAGGGGGACAACAACTCCCCAAATTTGAATAGGGGATAGGGGTTATGTCATATCTCTTTTTAAAGGTCTCATCGAGTTCTTTATGCCCCTAGAATTTCGTCTCATTATTTTCATCCGTTACGAAATGACAGCTTGTCAAATTCTTGGAAATAGACTATTAGTTTTAGTGGGAGCAAAAGCGATACTTACCTCCCTTAATAAAAATACTTGAAATACTTATACTATTATTATTAACGAGGTGTACAGGAGAATTGTAAATTGTAGGTATTTTTACTCGTATTTTTATTAAGGGAGGTAAGTACCGCTTTTACTCCTACTAAAACATAGTCCATTTCCAAGATTTTGATAAGCTGTCATTTCGTTACGGATGAAAATAATAAGATGAAATTCTAGGGCCATAAAGAACTTGATGAGACCTTTAAAAAGAGGTATGACACGACCCCTATCCCCTATTCAAATTTGGGGGGTTGTTCTCCCCCTAGCTAGGGGGTTGAAGGTACGGGGATGAAAAAAACTGAAAAATAGTTCCCCCTCAAATCAAACATCGTGTCCGAGCGTTTTTCCAGATTCTCATCCCAAACCCAATAAATCGGGGTGGACTGTTTTCCCTGGGACACCCTGTATATATATAAATAAAAAATATACCTTTGTTGATTTTTTTTTCCTTACTTTATTTTCCTTGTTCTTCAAAAATTCAATTAGCCTTTCCAATTACTTAATTCTGTCTTCAATATTTTTGGTTAATTCATCCATATGGTTCATTTGTTCTAGAAAAACAATAAAAAGTAAGTCAGTTTGGTTTGGCTTTTTAAAAACAGTAGACTTTGAATTAGAAGAAAACACCGATTATCAAATGCTACATGCTTTGCGGCTAAATTAATAAATTTTTACTTTCAAAGCCTCGTGACGTTGAGACAAAAGCAAGGGTTTTGTCATAAAAACAACGATTTTGTCACAAAACCAAGAGCTTTGTCACAAAACCAAGGGTTTTGTCATACGAGTGAAGGAGATTTATGTTAAAAAAAAAGCAAGCCGATTTCATCACCACAAAAATGCCAAAATGGCCAATATAGCGACATGTTTTACTGGTAACATTATTGAACAAATGTTTTAAAATATATTCGTCTGCACCTTAGATTATGTCTGCACTGCCTGCAGTCTCATTTGATATATTTCAAAACGATAAATAGAATCCAAAACAGCTTTCAACTGAAAAATCTACAATGTATTAATAGGTACTTACCTCTTGATGTTTTTACTGAATGGCTTAACCGCCACGTTTTCAGAAAAATTTCAAATTCACCGGAATCACTTTACTCATTCTAGATTATAGAATAAATGCACAAACCCCAAACTAATAAACGAAATCTGATGCCGATGCATGATGCACGCGCGTTATGCGTATGTCATCGGTCAATCGGTACTGCAGGCGAGTGAGTATTCGGGTGGTCTGGAGCTGTTGAAAGGTGAGAATTGCGTATGTAGAGTACTCTACGCAACGCCCATAGAATTTGATGGAAGACTAATGCTTTCCAGAAAAGCTCAACAATGCAGGGACTGGAAACAAAGTCAATGATGCTCTCTCAAAGGCGCTTGAATCCAAAAGAATTAGAAATTTATTGGAAAATCATCCATGATTTTCAGTTGAGAGCAGAGAATTTGAACGAAAGAAATTTTTTTTGATAAAAGAGAAAAAAATCCAAAAGCATCATTCTTTTGTCTTGAATCGGGTATTTTTTTCAGTGTACCGACATTTTTAGTGATCTCGCTAACTTTACGTTAAATTAGCAAAACACTACTTTATTTTCGAACACGATTTTCTTATGGAAAGAAAGGTAGCGGCAAATTTTTAGTTTTCACATCTAATTAGCGGCAAAAAAAACGGCAAATTTCCATTCACTCAACTTATCACCACCGACATTTTTAGTGATATTGTCTCGCTAATTCGACGTCAAGTTAGCGAAACACATGATTTTTTTTTCAAACTTGATTTTTTGTTAAAAAAAGCGGCAAATTTTTGGTTTTCACAGCAAATTAGCGGCAAAAAAACGGCAAATTTCTATTCATTCAATTTTTCACTACCGACATTTTAAGTGATAATGTCTCGCTAACTTGACGTCAAGTTAGCGAAACAAATGATTTTTTTTTTCAAACTTGATTTTTGATGAAAAAAAAAAACGGCAAATTTTTGATTTTCACAACTAATTAGCGGCAAAAAAACGGCAAATTTTCACGTACCTAGTTTTTTAGTGCTGACATATTTAGTGATGTTGTCTCGCTATCTTGACGTCAAGTTAGCAAAACACGTAATTAAGAAAAAACCAAAAGTGCGGCAAATTTTTTAATTCCACATTTAATTAGCGGCAAAAAAGCGGCAAATTCTTGGCATAATGGAAAATCGATTTTTCGAAGTTGTCTCGCTAAGTTGATAGACATCAAATTATCGCGTAATTACAATCTGATTGGTTCAAATCAACAATCAAAACATGTCAATTTATTGTTGGAATACCAGTTTTGACAGATGTATGAAATTGTCATTATTATTATTACGACGGGCGAAATTTTCACATTAAGATTATTTGATAATAGGTATGTTTTTGCAGAAATCACAAACCAGTCAGAGTGAATTTGATTGGTTGAAACTAGTTTTCTGACTGTTTTCAACCAATGAAATTCGCTCTGACTGGTTTGTGATTTTTGCAGAAACAGACCTAATACATACATAGTTTTTAAAGGGCCTTTGGCTGCCACAAAAGAATTCTCCATGGAGCCCTAGGGGCCGTTTATTCTTAACAAATTTAGGAGAAACAGTGCTTCCAGCCCTATTTATCCACCAAAATTAATCAAACTGCATACTAACTTATTTGATGATAAATTTTGAAGGGGTTTCTGCTGCCATGAAAGTATTTTCCATTGAGCCCCTAGGGGCAGTTTACTCTTAACAAATTTAGGAAAATCTATCATCAAATATAAAGTTTGGTTGATATTGGTGCATAGGCAGCAGAGCAGTCTTTCTCCTAAATTTGTTATGAGTAGGTAAACTAAAATCGCCCCTCTATAGGGGCTCAATTGAGAATATTTTTAAGGCAGCAGAAAGCCATTCATCAATAATTGGGTTTGGCAGCACGTTTTGTACCGCAAATTAGCATGATCAAGATCGATTTTTTATTTTTGAATTATCACCTAATGAAGTAGAAAAATTGAAGAGAAATTATTTTTATCTAGATTCTTGATAAGTGGGTGCAGCAAAGGCCATGGTCCTCGGACTACCGAGACCGAGAGTTATACTTGCGGTTATAACTGACTGTTATAACTAGACATAAATTATAAATTCCTTCTTTATCTTTATAGATGATCTGTTAGTATGACAAACAATTAAAAGTTCCAGTATCTCTGGTTCTAGTTGAAACTTCAAACAAATTTGATTTTTTTTTTATATTTCTTCAGAAATAACCTGTCTCTATGCTGAGCTTAGTTCTAGATATGAGGTAGCCGATATCTTGAGAAATTTATGTGTTGATTCGTAATTTGCCCGGTAATTTGTAGTTCTGTCTGTGGTTCTGTTCCATATCTACATTACATAGGTATCTATCGACCTATAGTCTAGAACTCTTGAATGTGTAGACTGTAGACCAAATACAAATAGCCCGCAAATGAGTAGGTATCGAGTCTTCAAACTCTTCAAATAAAAAACCAATTGAAGATTGCTTTGATTAATGTACGTCGCATTATTGTTTCATTATTGGTCAGGATATTTGACATTAGAGTTCTTTGACAAAATTAATAGTAGATTATACCACGAGTCAATAATGATAGCTATTATTCCCGAGGATTATTACGAACTGAGCCGCGTTAGCGGCGAGGGAGTAACATTCCGAGGGAATAGCCATTATTGCGAGTAGTATACTCTACTTTATTTACGACAAATTAATTTATTTGAGATTTTCAATGAACAAATTTCATCCGTCTCATAATTTTCAATACAAATCCACAAGCACTACACGTTTGACACTGACACTTTTGTGGAATAATGACCATTAATCCCGCTACTCGTCATTAATCCCTGGAGGAATAACATATGTCATTATACTACCAAAATCACAAATATAATACGCACATTATACATTAGTCGTAAATAAAGAAAAATATTGCTAGACATAGGATTGGACATAGGTACGTTTAAAAAACCATAGCAATCTTTGATTGTTTTTTTTTTTAAGACCCGATACCTATGTCTGATGACTCTGATGTCGCCAATTTATAATCATTAAAATAAATATTATTCTTAACAATTTTACCTATAAACTTTCTCAAACTTGCCATATTCATATTGTCTATTTTCATTAGTAGTTTGTAGTTTTTGTTTATTTACATTGAAGAAGTAGGTCAGTAAAGATTGAGGTTAGAAATTTAGAATCATTGCTCGATCGTGACCAAACTCTATTCTCTATTCTACGTACTTTGTGTGTGAATTCTACATTCTACCGTTGATTATTCTACGAAAGAACCAACTGTGCTTTAACACAGAATCAAATCTGAAGTCCCCCACCATGCCAAAGAACCAGTGATGACGTAGGCAGCGTGTCGTTTTTCGCCTTGACGTAGGGCGTTTGCACCACAGGTTACGATCCCGCTGGCTTTTGCTTTATGCATACTGTTTCAAGTACATTAATTAAGATTCTAAACAAATCTTTTTTAGATCTCGTTTGCATCTTCCTCTTCGCCTAATTTGTTAATGAAATTAAATAATATTTTTCAACATTAAGCCCGTATTACATCTGTGTATTTTTCCGTGAATTTCTTCATATATTTCAGGGTAACAAGTGACAACCGAAAAACTTCAAACGCAACATAAATCAGCATTATGGAAAACAAAATAATGTTGGCACCTAACTACATGTAGAAATACACGGAAAAATACACAGATATAATACGGACTTTAAAGTATGTATATTCTATATTCCAAACAAAGAATCGTTAATCCTTACGATCAAGCACTTTTCTTACCTAACTTAAAGAATCTAACTTAGTTGCGCGTACGATCTATCACAACTAAGTTAGAATCTGCCTTCCCCCCTTACCCCTGCTAAGACACCCAGATTTTTAACTGAGATAACTTAGCTGACCTAAGTTGGCGCGAAGTACGCATTTTTTGGATTTTGACGTTTAATAATTTCTAAATTGAGGTTGTTTCTTTATTTTTATTTTGTTGAAAGTTGGTCGTTGGAACAGGAACTTTGAAAAGGTGTTTAGTTTAATGAAATTTATTATTCAATATTGCCATTGCACGCGTCATGACACCTCTAGGTAGATAATTGTTCATTTTTAATGTGAAATAAACTGTGCTGTAGTACAAAAACAATTCAGTTTCAATTTCAATTGAAAATAAATTAATAAAAATAACAAACTGAACCTGAAACTCTCGTCGTAACTAGAACCCTAACTAGAAATACGTGACGTGAGTCGTAACTTGATAGGCAGCTGATCAGCCAATATGAATTGCGGGTACGATCAAACAACTTAGCTCAGCTAAGAAACTAACTTTAACTTAGGTAAAAAAAGTGCTTGATCGTAAGCAGCTCGTATTCTAAACTACGACTGCGTCGACTGCTGGTGCAAACAGCTGACGACGTACTTGATGACGCCGTCAATGCGATTCCCAAAAACGAGGCCGATAAGCAATCCTGTGTAATAGTGCGTATTATCCTTGAGCACTACACCTACACCTGGCCGAGTTCAGAAATAACGCACAAGGTGCGAGTGCGATTTTGGATGCGTACGATAATTTAGTCCAACTACTGACACTTTTTATCCTGACGCGTCATTAATGTCGCACTTTTTACACCATTCGTACCGTTTAGCATTCCATATTCCCGGTGGTTTCCAATGGTTGCGTTCCAAAAGATAACTGCACCGCACTAACGCTAACCGGTTCAGACAAATCGTACGCACCATTTATGGGTGTGCCTGAATTGACAATTGGCCAATGGGCCTATAGCACCGTCTAGCATTTTTGAACAGCTAGGGCATCGCACCGGTGTCACACTCACACTGGGTGTGTCATTCCTGAACTCGCCCCTGCACTTCCTATAAGTAGGTGAGTTCGGAATGGTAGAAAGTGTCGACACTTTTTACACTATTGACACTGTGGCGTTCGTTAAATGGTAGGAGTAAGTTGTAAGTTTAGTTTACACTTTATTTGCGTTTGAAATTAATTTGGTGCCCGAATGGTGTGAAAATGGTGGGACACCGTTTACTCGGTACAAAATGATGGTGTATTCGGTGTTACACCGCCGATTACCCCTTCATCACCAGGGCCGAGTCCAGAAATAACGCACAGAGTGCGATTGTGAATTTATGGGTGTTCCTGAATTGACAGTTGTCCATTGGGCCCATAGCACCGTCTAGCATTTTTGAACAGCTAAATAGGTCGTCGCACCGGCGTCACACTCACACTGGGTGTGTCATTCCTGAACTCGCCCCAGAGCCGCTTTCGGATGCTCCTAGGAACACTTCACACATGTCAGTGACCTGTCATACTCAATGTCATACTCCATGCGTTTTGCACTCGAACGCTTAAAACCGAACGCCGAACGTGTCAAACTGTAGCCGGAGTACTTCGGAGTAACTCAGGAGCGCTCAAAGGGTGGCACCGGAAAGCAGCTATGATATAACACCGCACTAGCACGTACTAAAAGCCAATTCCGAACTCAACTAGTGTAAACCGGCCTTAAGTGACACCTTTGACAATTGACACGTGACTTACCTTTTTTTTTGTTTTTGTTTACATATTTGAAAAAATTATTTAAATAAAAAAATGTTAAAATTAATTGTTATAAATGATCCGTAAGAGAAACGTGATAATTGTAGCCTTGATAGTAGTGGCAGTGTTCTTTTTCACTATACACTATTTACTCAAATATTTGCCGACTTTAGACAATGTGGTTAAAACAAATTCAAAAATCGAAAATGCCATTTATGAGGAATTCAAAATACTGCCCAAATTTTATAAAGAAGTACAACAACATCTCGGAGCTACTAAGACTGATGAATTTCTGGAAAACGTTAAAGATGTCATGAATTTGGCACTCCAAGATGTAAACGTTAAAGAGGTATGGAAAGAGGCTAATTCGTGGCCATCGAGTAATCAGCTTACAAATATTTCCAGCCCTAGCATAGGAAAATTGATGTATGCTTTAAAACATGCTTGGATTATTCATGCTGATATTGATACAAGGGGGACACAACTAAAATTATTGATAAATTTGATGGTAAGATAAAGAATATCATTAGTTTTGTAACAAAGTTGCCTTCTTGAATGTAACATTTTGAAAATATGATGAGTATTTGCCTCTCAGATATTATTGGCATCTCATTATCCTTGGAAATATGACAGGTTGACCCTCCTATAATAGACATCATGTGTCAAATAATTTTCCGCAACTTGAATTTTGAATCTGGAATTGTTTGACCAGCGGTTTTGAGTCTACCGAAGGAATTCGGACGTAAATGTACGATGCTGCCACGTTTAATTATAAAAAAGCGAAAATCTCGGCGAAAATACTAGGCATGAAGTATAGTTCATTTGAAAATCCATTTTTTAATAACAAGATATAGATAACAATAATACGCTAAATATTTCAACATAGTTGTTAGATGTATTCTTATTTTAATAACTGATTTTTTCAATTTTGTCTATTGTAAAAAATAAACATTTTCTAAAGATACCATCATCTTTTGACAATGGATGAACCTGATTGGTGGAGTTTTTGCAATGAAGTAGTAAGAAGGTTGGAATAGCCCTTTGCCTATCTACTACTACTTTATTATTATATATTATTAGTTTATTATTACTCAATACATATATTTGCGGCCAACATAAAAGTGAGAGAACAGGAGATATCCATGAGATTTTCTTGCCCTTACTAGCACTATCTCACTCAGGGTTAGAGTGAGAGATATGGGAAATTCAATAGATTTTCTGCCCTTACTAGCGCTATCTCATTCTGGAATCAATTGAATGACGCAAAGCTCATTCCAAGCCTTCTTTCTACTTCATTGAGTTTTTGGCAGGATCGCCGTTGCCACGGGAAACCATGCGGTTGTCAATGGGCTAACGTCACCTTACGTCTCGCTATTGGCCAGGGCTGCCGTTATTTTATCCTCCCATCTTGGAATATCGATGTAAGTAAGTATATTGAAATATCCAGTGGCGGTGGTTTGGTCATTGTCGATTTTCGTGTACGAATTGCAATATGATAACACTTTCAAAAAGTTCCGCACACAGCTGGGTATTTTATGAATAAAGTAAGCCGGTTAGACTTAGAGTAGCTGGGCAGACATTAGTTGTTCTGGGAGGCTCAAAATTAATCTGCAAGTCTTAGATATTATAGAGGCAAAATCAAGCATCTTTTCCTCTGGAAGAACTAGCCCAAACCAATGACATCAAAACACAGATAGACGGATCATCCCATTCATAAAGTATTATTTGTTGTGTTGACAAGACCACGCATGGGCCAGGGGAGGTGAGTTGCTCGCGGGGTCGGGGTAGGGAGACATCATTGCTCAAAATGGTGTAAAAAACCCCGCCCACACGTGAATATATCTCGAAATTTAATTGGATGAATAAATAAAATAACAAATTGACAAATAAACTGAAAATATTTGATACGAGCCCTTTATTCTGGGCGTACCAATATCGTGTTAGTCGTTTCTTGTTTAACGCTAATGAATAACCCTTGTTTGCAATAAAGATAGCTAGCTACTACAATCAACACCTGCGTGCCATTCAACAAGCCGCTTCTGGGCGCTGTTTTGCTATAATCTGCTGTTGCCAAATTGAGTTCAGAAATAAAATTGAAAATGTTAATTAGAGGAGAAAAATATATTATTTAGGGATTCAAGACAAAATTTGGCATTCTCAGTGGTGGGGATAGCACAAAGACCCAAAAGAGACAGAGAGATGTTGTCATACGAAAATTTTGTTTATTGTTCGGTCTATCTGTGTTTTGATGTCATTGGCCCAAACTAAAAACATTGAGAAGCAATTTTTTTCCCAATTTGATTTTTGTCCCTGGGACATTGGAATTGGAGAACTCACTTTCAACAACTATAGGTAAAATCTTTTGAGATTCCAGTGTCCAAAATGCAAAAAACTAGACAACAAATAGTAAAATCTCACGAATTAGGTCCAGGTTTTTTTGAAATTCTTACCATCACCTAATATAATTCTGGTATCTTTTCCAGCTTCTTTCCTCACAAATCTTGCAGATTTGGGAATAAACTCTTGGTTATTGTTATTAGTGGCTGCCCTATAACAAAAAAATTATAATATAAGTTTCTTGTTTTGGAAAAATTTAATTTTCAATAACTTACCTCAGTTTGCGAATTGTAACTTGAATAAGGCCAATTTCTACACCACCCTAGAGGTACTAGCTGTCGGTGCGTTTTTTGTTAGAGTGGTTATCCCCAGTAAGCCTAGTCTTGTTTTGCAGATCTGTTTTTGTATTAAAATTCTATTCGCTAACATCCAATGTTCTCTATCTTAGGCCTGGTTTATTCATCTTGAGATAAACTTGCTGGTAACTATCTGCAAGATAAATTTACAGATCCATATTCCTGTTGGTTACTGGATAATTGGTTGACGAATGGGATTACATATTGCGTTTTTATCCGTCAGATTGCATTACCTGACAGTTTATTAGAAATAAACCGGCTCTTATGTATTAAGAGGCTCTTGAAGAGCCAAGAATAGACAAACATTTGAGAAGCACCAGAGACATTAAGGGAAAATGGAGTAGATTAGTAGACTGAAGTACCTATATTGTTTCTATTCCAAGCTTCTGAATTTTCTTTATGTAGAGATATTTAGAAATAAACAATTCAAGAGCCGGAAATAGACAAAAATTTATACAGAAAACTTTCAGAAATGAAAAGCAGAAATTTAGGGAATATCGAGTAGATAAGTAGACTTAAGTATGTTTTTTCGATGGTTGTTTCTATTCCAGGCCTATGAATTTTCTTTATGTAGAGATATTTGGAAGAAACAATTCAAGAGCCGGGAATAAACAAAAATTGAGACGGAAAAATTCAAAAATTTAGAGAAGAAATTTAAGGAAAACTTCTAAAAACCCGAGTAAAAACCAGAAGTATCTGTGAGAAGAAAACCATAATTCGACTATTTCACAGATTAATGGGTTTGTCTGGTATAAAGTAAAAGCTTTCTCAGATAGTTTAGAGAGGAAAATTGCATAAATGAACTTCCAGATAAGGAAGAGATTGAACAATCCGCCGACAAACTGCGTGAACCAGAGATAAGGTCAATCCCTAGGGAATCCAGAGGCCTGAAAGCCAGGAAGGCACCAGGTCGCGAGGAAGGAAAATGAGGAAAAGCCTAGAAAGCCTGTAATGACCTTAACTATCATGATCTTTTCCCTTCTGGGACTGAAACACTTTTAATAGAGTAGACATTATTTGAGTCTTGCTATTATTTCCTATTCCAGGATTTTGAATTTGCTCTGTTTGGAGGTTTTCCGAAGAAGACAATTCAAGAGCCAGGAATAGACAAACATTTAGACAAAAAAATTTGAGATTTGGAAAACAGAAATTTAGCGAAAAATGAGTAGACTTACGTATCTTCTGAATTTTCACTGTTTGGAGACACCCACCTTACCAGAATGACCAGTGTGTCGTCGAAAGAAAGTCCAATTTTGAACCACTTTGGTCTTATACGACTTTTGTCCAGAATAGAACGTCATACTGAAGACATGTTTTGGACGTCCAGCCCACATACGTCCAGCCGATGGCAGTCTTACTAACGTCCTCCCTTATTATGTCGCATCAGCTCGTCAATAGTTTGTTAATAGTAGTTGGTTTCAAATATTGACAATTTAGTGTTGTTATTTGTTATCGGTAGGTACCTAATATCAACATATTTTGGTAATTTCATTTAAAGTATAAACCCTGATCCAATCTTGGAAGTCTTTTAGGCGTTTTAAGTTGGCTTTTTTGCGGTCTTAAGTTGGCTTAGATAGAGCGAGTCCAAATTAGTCAGAAACAACTCTAACATCAGTTACATTTGAAAATTTCGATGAGAAAAAAAATCCAAAAAGGAAATCTAATTTTTGGCTCTAGATATTTTTTGGAATCTTGACATACTTGACATGAATAATAGCTCACGTCTTATAAGAATACATTAATTAAAACCTATATCAGCGAAAAAAACAATTTTTTTTTTGGCGCAAACGGCCACAATAAGGAATTGAAAATGCGGAAAAATTCAAATTATTTCTAGCGGGAAAAAACGCTCTGGTACTGGTCGTGACGTCATGTAGTATGATCTGTCAGTGTCTGTCAGCAACCGTCCATCATACCGTGAGTTCGTCTTGAAACACGGAAAGCTCGGAGCATTTTCCGTCTTTTTTCCTTATGATGAGAAGAACAGGGATAAAAGAACAAAATAGCAACTCCAAGCGTTTACTCGAACTCTACATAATAAATACCCGTGTGTTTATTTACGTTTTTCTCTGATTTTTTAAAATTTTATCATTATTAGAATTGGTTTACTTAGTTTAAATTCAATGATTAGCTCAGTATTATATAAATAAAACGATATACCTATTAATTATGACCGAAGAAGGAAATTCCAAAGGCCAACCCGCCAATCTGTAATTTGTGATATGTTTATAGTAGCAAAAGTAAGTATGTGCGAATCTTTTTTTCCATTATAACTTAAAAATTTACAGCTCGCCGCAACCCAAAACAACAACAAAACAAATAACGGTGGAAAATGTGGAAGTCAACCAAATTAAATACAATGAAGTAAAATATAAAGATGTTTTGTGATATAAAGTTTGACGACAAGGTGACGCAAAATCCAAAATCATACTACGTGACGTCATCCAGATTCGCGCGCATTTAAAGTCGTTTGAAATGTTTTTAATACGCGCGAAACTTTAAAATTTTTTCACCAAGTTATTATTGAGTTTTAGGGAATAATATTTGGGGAATACTCTTTCAAGGCATAAATAAATGATTTAAAAAAATTAAAAAAAAATTGTAAAGTTCCCTATTATGCATCATTAAAAAGAGTAATAAATTCTCTATAAGCCCTGCCAAATTGGTTTTTGTAACTTGTTGAGTTTTCGGGATATTGAGCTTCAAAGTTGAAATTTGGTCGACATTTTGTCCAAAACTTCAAACTCGATTTTCTCGAAAACCCTAAACGATAGAGAGTTCAGTAAAGTAGAGTACAACTACTACTACTACTAGTCAAAATTACTATGTAGTTATCAAAATGTGCGCCAAGACTAGGCCGTCTGGCTATCCATTCTATTTAACCCATATTCTTTTTTTTTTTTTTGTTTTAGGGTGACCAGCAATGTGTTTTTAAACCAAAATGGTACGACAAGGAAAAATTAATTGAAGGCCCAGTATACTCGGGAAAAGACAGATACGGTTCTGAAATAGTAGCATTCTACTTGTCAGTCCTGTTGGAAAAACCATTAACCCCTGTAAGCGTCGAGCGTACCATATCCTTAAGGCACGACATATTACCGGTTGCAACCAGAAGGCTGGTGAATACTAGTTTTGTAAAAAACAGCAAGACTTGTATATACGGAAAATGCTTGTACTGTAAAAAAGAAGATCCAATTTGTGGGGATGCACAAGACAAACTAACTGGTGCTGTGATATTTAACGTTAAGAAGACTTTTAGCAATTATCGATCACCCTGGCAGAGAACGTATAAGAAAAGCAAATTGGCTACTTGGCAAACTGATCCTGATTATTGCAAGTAAGAATATGTGTTCTTTTTTATCACCATATGCTTGATAAATACTCTAATATAAACCCAGTGTGTATTTGGTTACAGGTTGTCTAATATATTTGTATATGTAAAAAAAAAAATTTAAAGATAAAATACTTGTTATTCTACCTATACTCTTTTCCACCAAAATATGTTCAATGTAAATAATTCTAAGTTGCCGCAAATCTCTTCTAGTGAAAATTTTGATTTATCCATTTTTTAGAATTGTTAGGGATAAGTTAAGCAAAAAACGAATACAAGATCTTATTGACACCGCAATCTTCGATTTTCTAATACAAAACGGAGACAGACATCATTATGAAACTCTCGATGATACGGTTGTATGGGTGGATAATGGAAAAGGCTTAGGAAATCCCCATGTTCAACATATTGACATATTGGCTCCATTGTATCAATGTTGCACGTAAGTGAATGTAACTTATGTTGCAAGGTTGGATTAGGTTTCAATTTTTTATTCGATTATTTGTAGTATCAGACAGCAGACATGGAAAGCCTTATTAAACCTTGCCGGAGGAAATCTTTCCAAATATTTGAGATTGATGCCGGATATCGAAAATATTTTGACTGAATCACATTTAAAATCCATGGAGGAACGACTATTGTTAGTATTTGCAGCTGTTGAATTTTGTAAAAAAAAGGGTAGCTGAAAATACATTCATTTTCTATTTATTTTAGTTTTATTTGTGCCTTGGGGTTACTTAGCAGGTGTAGATGACTATTGTCTATTCACAATCCGATGTCCAAAGATAAAGGTAAAATGTATCACCTTTCAGTGCTATTTGATAGAGAAAGGTGATAAATTCACCTTTACCTTTGGACTACGGATTGTGAATAGAATATACCGTATTCCTATATTTTTTTGTCAAACTTTAAAATCATTTATTCCTAAATATGTAATTATTTCAACTAATTTGAGCTCACATCGTCCAGTGCCTTTATTTATTTTAAAACGGTATGTTACAAACTGTAAGCAGGAATCTGCAGGATAACCTACATAACTAATTGCACCATACACATGCAATTTTCAAAATAGTAGTGTTAATTTAGGACATAATTTATTGACAAAATTTGCTCCAAATGATTTCGAAACTTGGTGTAGGCTAAGGTGCATGTCCATTGTCCATGTATCCATAGCATTAAATTTAAAATGTATATAGCGAGCTCTCAGCTGTCACATTGTTCATGAATCCATAGCAGTGAATTTAATGGCGTTTCCGATTGGTAGATTCAGTGCGCACTCAGTGTATTTGCATCCTTTTAATCGACCTGTAAAAGAAAAAGACAGGAATAGAAAAAATTGCACTAGTTCCGCACTAGATCTACCAATCGGAAACGCCATATATGTATATAGGGAGCTCTCAGCTGTCATTCTATTAAGACTAATTTTATACACTGGATTTCACTGTTGCTCAACAACATTGCCTAAATATCTTAGGTCTGTTTATGCAGAAATCACAAACCAATCACAGAGTGAATTTCATTGGTGGAAGGGTTGAAACTAGTTTTCTGATTGTTTTCAACCAATGAAATTCGCTCTGACTGGTTTGTGATTTCTGCAGAAACAGACATATTATTGTGAGATATAAGTGTAGAAAGATGGATTTTTTTGCAATGAAATTACCCTGTAAAAATATATACTTTCGAAGTTGCGGTAACCTTTTAAATAAGGTTGACGCGGTCCAAGTGTACTTGGATAAAGCAGGTTGACACGATCCAAGTGCACATGGACCAAGTAAGTTCACAGCCAGCCTACTTAGGTAAGTTGGATACTAGGACCTATCCAACCGGACTTGGATTAAACAGTTGATGCGATCCAAGTGAGGCGCGCGTAGCGGCAGCTCCCAAGGTTACTTGATCCAAGTACAGGGTGTTTCAAATTCGAGTTACATCATTGGGATTTTGGAAACGGTGAGAGATACAGGGTTGGTTAAATTGGGGTAAAGTTGCGTAATTTGATGTTTAACAAAATGCCGGTTTGATATTTAGGATATTCCGAATACTTCCGGAGATAACCGGAAAAAACCGAAATTTTGCAAAATTGTTTTTATATTTTCTCGACCTTATTTAAAGTTATATTTAAAAAAAAAAATGTCACTTCATCATAGCCACTTTTTCTCCCCTACAAGATGCTAGCTTCAAATTTAAAATTTGACGTTTCGTCTTTGGGCCACCATCATCAACTTCATTTTTTTGATGTAGGGTGTTCTGCACCCCGGGCTATGATTCCGCTGGCTTTTGCTTTATGCATACATTGGTTTTAGTGCATTACTTAACATTCTAAAACAACCCTTATTTAAATCTCGTTTGCATCTTCCTCTTTGCCTATTAGGTATATGTTAATCAAAATTAAATAATACTGCCATCCTAAATGTATACTCCAAACTACGACCGCTGGCGCAAACAGCTAACGACACCATTGATGACGTCGCCAACGGTGCAACACCATAGACCTGGATTCCAAAAATCGAGGCCGATGAGCAATCCTGTGGTAGTGTGTAATATCCATGGTAATATCCTTGAGTTTATCGTATTGTGTATAGAATTAAATCCTCTCATATCATCATCAACTGGCAAAAAATGCATAGATCCGAAAAATCCCATGTTAACCGTGCGTTATCCTTGCCGCCTGATCTTACACATAATATGTTTTTTCTACTACCATGCGTAAAGTTCTCACTTTACGCACTATTCAGAAGACGTAAAATTTCAATTCACGCACTAGTGCGTAAAGTAATTTAATTCACACACTAGTGCGTAAAGTAATGTCAATGACAGTTGTCGACACTGTCAATTTGGCATTTTTCTGGTAAATTACTTCACGCACTAGTGCGTAAAGTGAAAATTCTTTACGCACTAGTTCATAAAGTATTTGTCTAAATTTATTTTTTTACACATATTTGATTGGTAGTAGAAAAATTTTTGTATGCAATTCGTGCGTAAAGCACATTTTTCACTCATGTGATTGTCGCACTCGCCTTCGGCTCGTGCGTCAAAATTCACATTCGTGAAAAAGGTTCACTTTACACACTTGTTGCATAAATAACTATTTTCTACTACCGTGCGTAAAGTACTCACTTTACGCACTATCCAAAAGACGTGAAATTTCACTTCACGCACTAGTGCGTAAAGTAATTCACTTTACACCACATTAGTGCGTAAAGTGATGTCAATGACAGATGTCGACACTGTCAATTTAGTTTTATTCCAGTAAATTACTTCAGGCAATAGCGTATAAAGTATTTGTTTAAATTTATTTTTTTACACATACTTTATTGGTAGTAGAAACATGTTTGTATGCAATACATGTGTGTGAGGAACCTTTTTTTTAAACCTGAATTTTGATGCACAAGCCGAAGGCGAGTGCGACAATCACACTTGTCTTGTTGCATAAATTTCTAATACCGTGCGTACACTTTACGCACTGTTCAAAAGTCGTCGCACTAGTGCATAAAGTATTTTTTTTTTCACGTAGAGTGAAAATACTTTACGCACTAGTGCATATAGTCTTTTGTCTAAATTAATTTTTTTAGACATACTTTTATTGGTAGTAGATTTTTTTTTGTACCTATGCAATTGTGTAGAGCACCTTTTTTCATTCATGTGATTGTCGCACTCACCTCTTGTTAGACCGGTGGCCCAGCGTCAAATTACCCCCCTCATCGGGCACAAAATTTTCATTATAGGTACTCGAAACACTTTATCATTCCTAAACAAAAACCGCCCGTCTGCCATCGATGGGTGGTAGCCCGCTCCCGTGACCGCCCCCCAAATAAGGGGAATTTTGATCAAAAGCCCCTCTTACGAGTACACAAATGAAATTTAATGGGCATGTAGAGAATTATATTAGAAACCTAAAAACACGTGGCAGACGCCTTCCAGTGGTAGCCCGTCCAGGGCAGACGCCTTCCAGTGGTAGCTCGTCCAGGGCAGACGATCTTAAAAAAAATATATATGTTGTAAAACTCCCCTTACGAGTAAATTCACAAAATTTTGTAGACTTAAACAGTCAGATTGGTGTGCTAAAAATTTCAGTTCAATAAAAGTTCCCTGATTGTTCCCAATAAACCTTGACCTACGAGTGTGTGCGGAAGGAAAACGCGTTTTCACGCACCAATTTGTTTGCGGGAAGTAAGTACCACTTTTCCGTAGGTGTGAGTAAAAAAAAAGCAAATCGGTGCGTGAAAACGCGTTTTTCGTAAGCTCGTACGAAAAATGTACCTAACACGAGTGTAAAATATCTTTTCCTACGAGCCTGCGGAAAGCTCTTTTTCCGTACGCATTGGCCTGCGGAAAGAGTAATTTCTCCGCACTGCGGATAAGTATAACTTTCCGCACTTGCAGATAAATAACTATTCCACATAGTGGCGAGTGTGGCGACAAAATTTTAAAATACGCATTGTTCAGCGAACTTGCGCCATCTAACAAATGAAACGTACGACGCTAACGGAATTATGCTAAATCTGCCGGCTTCCACTATCAGTACTTTCCGATCTCACAGTTTTCATTTTATCATAGAGAATTTTATCAAAATATTTGCCACAGGCTACCGCACTGTTGGTGGGCGGCGCGGCGTTCTGAGTCTTGTTTTTTTGTGCAATTGTTTCATTCGGTGGCCGGCCGGCATTCCTGCTAATAATATTGAAGTACATTTCGTATGTTTGTTGTTTTGTTTTGTACGTGCCTAATTGGATTTAGTAGAACCATTGGTTAGAAAGGTAGTATCACTATCAGTTTTTAGTGTCAGTGCAAGAAAATAATTTTATCTTCATCAAAAGTATCGAGCTACAACCTGCAACCGTTGACTCGGCAAAAACATTCACAGATACATTCCTTTGTTGGATCAAACAAGTGCTCGAGTTATAACTTCTCACTTGTGTCTAGGATTTTGTGGTTTTTTGATTTGATAGTTTTTTCAAGGATAGGGTGAGTAGGTATATGGTAGCACATGGTAGTGTTTGTGGATTAGTTAATAGTTGATAATCAATAATCAATTTATTCAGGTGGAATGTGGTATTGTATATTATCGAAGGTATTATCAAATAACTATCGCGATAAATACTCTGCATTCGGCATTATTTGATGATGTTATGTATGAATATGAAATGCCTAGGTAGGTAGGTGGGTCTTCAAAAAAATAACCAATCATAGATTGCTATGGTTTTTTAAATGTCTGTCTTAGCAATAGGTATTTTAGTTTAATTTTGTCAGTGAACTTAAATAACTTAATGACAAAATGTCATGTCAAAAATCCTGACCAATGAAGGAACAATAATGCGAGGTACCTTCAAAAAACCATAGCAATCTTTGATTGTTTTTTTTTTGAAGACCCAATACCTTGGGTAGGTACCAAAAATATGGTACCTAATTTTTTCTTTATTTTTTTTATGCCTAATCTGCAAAACCAAGACTGCAATAGCAAACAAGCCATAATTTAAAATTCTGCTTGTTTTTTTTTAAATAAACCGAGAAATAAACATTCAAACAAAAAATATAAACAACATTCAGTTTTCATTCACACATAAATAGCTATTATACAGGGTGGCTCGAAAAGGCCAGTACAAAATCTTAGCACAAATTGCTGAGGTCAAAATACCTATGTAGTCGATTTAAAGCACTTTACCTCAGTCCAAAATTTCTCAGTTTCCAACCCGAATCAATAATTATGAG